CCAAGCATGACAGAATAATGGCACTAGCATTGAGCTAAGAAGCAACATGAAAAATGCCATACCATATGTGATTTCCTTGCTATAGTTACAGAACATCACATCTCTCCTTTCCAATTCCTCCTTCGTTCTTTTACTTTACAGATTTGTATTAGTGAGAGGTTTTTTTTTTTGGCTAGCAGTGAGAATATCTACGACTAGTTTCTCATACTTTGTGATTTGGAATCCTTGTCAGTGTTTTGGAAAGCATGCTTGGGACATGGTGAGTTAAAGATGGTAAACTCCATGCATGCTCACTGTCACTTGGCCAGCACAGATGGCGTGTGAATAAATTTGCTGGCTGGTGCAGAGTGCATCCAGGAAAGTCAGTAGTTCTTGAGGAAGCTGTGGAAGAAAAAGGAGGAGAATGACAGCATGCGGTTCATGAAGGGCACCGAGGAGTGGCAGGATTCTGTTCCGGGCCTTCTCTGCTGCTGTGTGCTCTCTGACTCCGATGTTGAGGAGGAGCTGGTTGAGGCTATCGGCGCCGAGGATATATGGGGGAGACCATGCTTACCAAGGTAATGAGTCTCTTGCGGAATCTTTGACATAAACTGATTGGTTGTTGGGTGTAGAAAAGGGAACACCTTTTTTGAGAGCTACACACCTTTCTTTTGAATTCAAGATTTATTCTTTACAGTTTTGTACCAAGAATGAAGTTACTGTTCTCCGAAGACAGTTACCGCATAGCTGTATCTGACGAGATGAACCAATTTCATCTGGGAACGATGTCATGAACTGTCTGCAGGTTGTGCGCAGCAAGGCGTTTGATCGGGATTGCGCCATTGATGGTGGAGGATGCGCTGGAGCAGCTGGAGGACGTTGATCATGACTTGGTGCATGCGCCCCTACTTGAGAGGAATGAGCGGCTACACCGATAAGCTGATCTGCGTTTGCTTTCCTCCATGGAAGAAGAGTTTGTTGTGCACATACACGCATGAATAAAGGGAGATACTACTACTCCGTTTGTTTTTATATAAGACGTTTTCGACAGTTTGCTTTGAATTGTTTTAGGCACTGTCTGAACTGTCTAAAACGTCTTATATAAAAGTGAACAGAGGAAGTACTAGATAGAAATTCAACTGAACGAGTGGTGTACGTGTGGTGCAGTGCAAGCAATCGAGATAAACAGCAGAGGCAAGATGGAGGATTAATTCAGACACATCGCCAATCCACCGGCAATGTCACCATCCAAGACAACGAAGGAGCAGTGATCCATGGCTCGTCTGGTCGCCGTCGTCCCATCGTAGATCATCGGGTCAATGAAGGAGATTGTGTATATGCTATCCGGCAAGAAAAAAGATGGAGATTGGGAGTATGCTTGACCTTTCAGACGACTTGACAAAGTGCTCGGCGCTTTTTGCTACGATCATCCTTTTACGCGTGGAAACCCCATCGAATTTTTATTAAGGGCCACGGGATCCTGAGCCTGTATGTACAAGATGAACGCTTGCATTTTCATTTTCCCCATGTTTATACATATCTGTGACGCCACATCAACTGTGATATGTATATTAGGACTTGTTTGAAATAATGAACTCTTTTATTAATACGTGATTATTTTGTATACAGGGTATTTTGTTCTATCACATGAGATGGAAACATTTATATATAGGATGCATGAACATTTTCTATTTTTTGTAGTATGGATTTTTCCACTACTTAAACCTAATATGGCAAAAG